CCTAGTTGATTATCCCTTACTTATACCATGGCATTGTTGAATACTCGTTTCTGATTGTCTCGAAGGGCATTCTAGAGCGTGCACTATTTCCATTTAACGCACGGTATATCAGCACAGTAGAATTCAATGGCAATACTTAATTCTTACATGTTCTGTTTGAGCTGCTTTTGGAAGCAAAAGTAGAAATGAAAACATTATTGTCATTGTTAAATTCGATTTTCATTATAGCAAGCTAAGTCTGTTTGTTTGGTTACCACGGCAACTACTATAGTTATTTATAAACTTTCTAGCTACTTCCGTGGATGTTGAACACATTTCTACTGGCAAATGAACACATTTCTAGTGGGAAATGTTTTAAATTATAGCCATGGTATAAAAGGAATAATCAACTCAGGGCCCTATGTGTTCTCTGAAAAATAATGCAACTCCGTGGAAGGTCAGTTCCACTCCGCTAGCGTGTTGTGGAACACACCTTCCACGTCATTCATTATTTTCCATAGAAATCATAGCCCCTCATTGATTATGCCTTACATCAATGACATGTGGCCCATTGTTTACCTTGTAACCTGGGAATGACCACAAGGGCGTTTCAAAGAGCTGTCAGTCAAGGCGAGCTCATGAGCTCCCACCCACTCAGCCTGTTCTTTCAGGCTTCCTGATAGTTAGAGATGAGAGAAAATGTACAATTTCTTCAATTCTGAGCTGTTTAATAGCGTAACAATATTATGGATGATGTTTTGGTCATTCAAAGGCTATTTTTACTTGGGAAATAGGATCACTGTGCTGGACCTTTAACTATTCCTTTGATTTCTAATGGAATGTGTGTGTGGGGGCGATAAATGTAACATTTTGACAGTTAGGTTTAGGCATTCATTCTGAATGGTTAAGGTAAGGGTTAAGGTTTGGGATAGGGTTAAAACAATCCAAATAAAGACGAGTGCCTAGCACTGGGATTGAACATGTGATCCTTGGAGCCGGAGCTCGCAGCTCACGGAACAAAAATTCAAACAACCCTCTGAGCCATAGCTTGCGGCTTACGCCCATTCGCCATCCCCATCCACAACCCTACTTGATGGTAATAGAGCTCACAGTTGCCCCTAGTGGCCTGTTTTGATTTCATCTCACAATGTCATGGGGACCTGGACGAACGTCGAATATCACCTTGGATCTCGATTGATCTGGCTGAAAGGAATAGAGTGCCATTTGAGACGCGTCCATAGTACCCAGAACAGGTGTCTATGACTAGTGATGAGGTACAATAATATATTATGAATACATATTCATATGATAACCCTTCTCACTATTGAAAGGTCATGTTATTGTTCACTTGCAGGATCCTCTGTAGTTATTGCCTTTTGCCTTTTCTGTCTAATTTCCCCTCTTATCATTCCCAATCAGAGAGGCTTCTGGTAAGCTGTAATCCTTTAATGGGATGACATTGACGTGACTCATTGATTATGTGTTTGTCTGCTAGAGAGCAGACGGGAATCCTCTGAGAGATAGAGGGAAAGGCAGGTTTTTGACGCTTGGCTGATTTCGATAACATCATTAAAACACCATGCCGTTTTTCCTTTATGTTTCGACCTTGTTCTCCTTTTTAAAACAGAGTGGGGGAATTTTATTAACGGTAAAATTATAAAACCGGTAGACTTTTTCCACCAGGGTAAAGAAGAGTATATTAAGATGATGACTGGTCAAAATAATTTTGTCGGTGTGTGCGCGTGTGCATGTTCCGTGGCCCATCCAGAACAGAGTGGAGTTATTTGATAGACCTCAGACTGTTTCATGTTACTAAGAAAGAACTGGAGAGTCTATGGTGTCATGGTTTCTGTTGCTCTGTTCTCCAATCTCCACCGTGCTCCGGGGGTAAAATGGATTCAAACGTAGACTGTGTCTGGGAGTCAGGTTCTCTAACAGTAGGTCGTTCAGTCAACCTATTATGGACTTGACCCATTACAGCAAATTGAGCTTGAAGTGTTTTTCTACGGAACAGTGAATAGGGCAATTCATGTATTTTCAGCTAGATATATGTGCCTTATTTGCTAAAAGGCTTATCATAACATATTACTGTGACATTATTGATAATTCTGCCACAAGAGCTACCTTATTTAACCCTAGATCAAATATGAGTGTAATGACTAGGAATTATAGGTTAAAATCTCGCTCTTGGTTTCCTCTCCTGTAATGGCAGGAGAAGTGAATAACAACACAGTTAAATCCATGGAGAAGTGCTTTTGTGATTTCACCCATCATCTCTCTCCCCCGTCTGTTTGTACCTTGTGTGGCCCTAGCAGCTGTGGGAAGATTTGGGTCAAACCTGTCCCCATGTGTGACCCACACACTCCCGAACAAACACACACACACACACACACACATATGTTCGCATACACACACACTTAAAACACACATTGTGCTCATGTGCTCACATATTAGTCACGCATTTACACACAGACACTTTTACCCACAATTACACTCTGATGCACTCGCACTGTCACACATTCAAGCCTAAACGTGCACACACACACAAATTCTGCTTTCATCACCAGAGCTGACATATAAACCCTTACACTTGTGACATTGTGTCATACTTATTATGAGTGTGACTACAAATGAGTGACACTGACTATGTCAAAAGACCGGCTGTCAACACAGCACAGATACACACCAACCTGGACTTAGGGGCAGACATAACATCTGGGACACTCAAATTAGTATAATATGTTAGGTTTGCTATGGTATGTATTAATTTTCATCTGATATGTTACAAATTACAAATTACAACTGGTATGATATCTTACGAATTACAGTTCGTATGATATGTTATGAATTACAATTCGTATGATATGTTACGAATTTGGAATAGGTATGATATGTTACGAATTCCAATTTGTTGTGGCCAACGTTAGCTAGGTGGCTAGGTGGCTAAATCTAACGTTAGAGTTAAGGTTAAGGTTAGTGTTAGGAGTTAGGTTAAATGGTTAGATAATCTGGTAAGTAGTTGTAAAGTAGCTAAAAAGTAGTAAGTAGTTGCAAAGTTGCTAATTAGCTAAAATGCTAAAGTTGTCTGTGATGAGATTCGGACACTCAACCTTTGGGTTGCTAAACATTCAAGTTATACGTTGACCCATCCACCCCGACCAACCACCCTGCTTTCATTTTTGCCTTAAGTAACCTTTTGTCTTATGTAACCATACCAAACGTAATATTTAATACTAAATGGAGTGTCCCGGATTTACTGGTATTATGTTACGTCTAGTCCATGAGACTAGCCTGTAGACACTCACATACAGTACAAACACACACCTATACACTGCACAGACAGTACAGAATGCATTTAAAAAGTCTCACCCATATTCACAATCACATTTCACATAAAGAAATAGATACACAACATGGTCATGTATTCAGACACACACACACACACACACAGCCAGTGCAATGATCAAGCAGAGGTGTGTAGAGGTGAGAGTTATTAGCAGGAGCTAATCTTTAGTCTAGCTAGGAAGAGTTATTACAGTGTCACATACTGCTGTCCCAGATGGTACTCCTGTAAATACCAATCAGCTCTCTGCTTTGGACCTGAGCTGCTGTTTATTGGGCTTTGTTTGCAGCACGATTATCACTGTTTGCTCTTTGTAGTTCCAATTTCATTTTTTCTTTATCCAGGCAATTTTTTTCTGTCATGTCAGCTGGTGTGTGTATGTGTGTGTGTGTGTGTGTGTCTTCCTAGTGTTTTCCCCTGTCTACGTGCCAGTTCACAAGCCTGTGTAGTCCACGAGTATGAGAAAGACTACAAATCATCTCAGAGGACCTGGGGATTGTAGCGATGACAGTGAAGACCTCTAACGCCATAACAACAATCTGTCAATCATCCTGTGTAATCATATGATAGTTACGATAATGTTTTGATGAGGTGATCAGTGATTGGGAGGGAGTAATGTATCCTCTGACCTCAGTGTCCTTGGCTGGGCATTCTGATTAAAGGGGATTTTGAAATACCCCTGCAGCTCTCTGCTCTATTGTCCGTTAGTTTTCCAATATTATTCACAATTATCTAATTTGACTTGCATATCAAATAGCTTAGAGTTCAGCCACCACAACAGCGTTAGGAGTTGTTGGAAAGAGACCAGGATTCAAACAAATGCAGAAAAAATGACCTTTACACTGCGGTTGATGGTTAACGGTGATTTCAGCTTAAGCCGACATCTGTACAAATGGACTGTGACTTGGGCATTTGTGCCATCTGAAAGCAGCTATGGCAGGTTGTATCAGGGCAGACTGGGCTGGCTCTTTAAGGGGATTGTGATTGCTGGGGTTTAGACTCTGGCAGAGTGGGCTTTGGCTAGCAGTCCTCTATTGGCGATCTGTGTGTGTCATACTGCATGTCCAGCCAACAGTGTGGCATGCATGAATACACAGCTGAATAGCTTCCTCTCTCCTTAGTTAACCTCACATCCTTCCTTTTTAATTTGACTTGACCAAATATTCTGTTCATCTACCAGTTACTCGAACCTTCACATCCCTCCTCAATAAGGTGTCAAACACGTTAATTCATTGTTTAATCACGTTTTGTTAATATATTACAAACATAGTTAGCACAGGGCTAGTAGTGAGGCTGCTGTCTCTGTGCCATTGGTGGGTGTGATATGGAGGTGTACCAGGTGACTGTCTAAATGTCTAGCTAACTTTAACATAACCAAATAGGATTATCCAATGATCCAATTATATTTTTATTTTTAGTCTGCCCTACTTTCAGGACAACAGTTTTTTTTTTTTATATAGTCATTATGGCCTGAATAGATTGCTATTTTTCAGGGTAGTGTGTGGTCTTACAAGTCCACTTAAATCGTAAAAATAAGCCACGCATAATAACACATGCATAAAAGCACACACATTGCGGCAATTGTTCTGCCAATACGGTGGCACGATCTAACTTTTAATGCCTGCAACTGTAGAAGCATGAGAACTCATGAGATGTGTTTTTGTTCCCTTTCTCCAGGTTGCGATGCTTGGTGAAACAGTTGGAACGAGGAGAGGCGTCCGTCGTCGACCTCAAGAAGAACTTGGAGTATGCAGCCTCAGTCCTGGAGTCTGTGTACATCGAGGAGACACGGTATGGATACCTTATCATGGGCACAACAGTACAGTAGATTGGTCAATTCCACTATACATATTACATACAGTATCTGACATATTCTGTGTGAACTATTATTATTATTATTAGTTATTTCTCAAAATGTTCTGTCCTACAGAATGTTATTTCTCTCTCTCTCTCTCTCTCTCAGAGCTAGCTCCTCTTATATCTAAGCTCTGGCTATCAAAGATAGCTCGAGTCTCTACTCTAGTCTCTATCAGATCGCTGAGATTCTCTCTCTCTCTCTCCTCTCTCTTCTCTCTCTCTCTCTCTCTTCTCTCTCTCTCTCTCTCTCTCTCTCCTCTCTCTCTGTCTGTCTCTCTCCCCATCTCTCGCTTACTCTCCTGCACTTTCTCTCTCCCTTATGGAAAAACCACATGAATGTGATCTTATGTGAAATGAATGTGATAACATGTGACAACATGTAAAAGCAACATGAAACTACACATGTGAAAACAATGAGCACGTGAAAACATGATCAGAATTTCAACAAGTGATACCATGAAACTACACGTGACAACATTTGAACATTTTTCACATGTAAAACTGCAAATTAGATTTTCACATGTGAATGTTTTTCACATGTGAAAGTGCAAATTCAATTTTCACATGTGAAAGTTGTTCACATGAAAATGCAATTCCACATGTGAGATTTAGGTTTTCACATGTGAAAGTTCTAAAACATGTTATTCTCCTGACATGGGAAAAGGTGGTGTTAACATGTGAACTCTAATTTAATAAATGTAATCATATGGTTTCACATGTGAACAATTGACCTCACATGTCTCTTTTGTTTTCACATGTGAAAGTTTCAGCTCAACAGGGGAAAACAACTATTTCACATGTGAAAATGTGATTTCACATGTGAAATGCGATTTTCACACGGGAAACTGTACATTTCACATGTGTTTTTTGGGAAGGGAAGTAATGAAAGGTATGGGTATTTTAAGGTAAGTGGTACGCTGTTAAACTAAAATAGTGTAAACATCTTTAATCAATATGATTACATTTGACATGATGACTTAGAGCTGACTTTCCAATATGACTCCACTTGGGATTTAAACTCACAACCTCTGGATTTGGGGTACGCTGATCTTTCTAATGCGCCACAAAGTCTGTAGCATTTTCAGAAGTCTCCTACAGATTCAATACCTATAATACATCTCTGCACTTAGCAAAATAGTGCCATCTGCACTGCTATTTTAGTTACCAGATAATATGACTATTCTCTCATCATTGATTTCATTTACTTATTTCAGCAATTTGTAGTTTTGACCAAAGTGTAGGAATACAGGTGAAATCAGTTATTGACACCGACATGGTGACGTAGCAACAAGATTGGAATGCAATGGTTGTGAATTCAAATCCCAAGTGAGGACATGTTGAATAATAATTACAGTATAAATAAACATAAACAATGTAATCATGTGTGTCAAATATGTAAATTGAAAACACTGTGACCGCGTGACATTCCGGGGACATCCTAATGAATGTTAAATTTTTTATGCAGGATATCACCTGTGAAATATCATGTGAAAAATATAAATGTGAAATTTCATGTGAAATATCATCACATGTGAAGTGTTCCAAAACCATATGGTTTCACATGATTTGTGAAAGGTTATGTGATCACATGAAAATCCACATGTGAAACTTAATGTGAAATATCATCACATGGTTTTTCAGTAAGGTCTCTTTCTCTCTCTCTCTCTCTCCCGCTCTCTCTCTACCTCCCTCTCCCTCTCTCTGTCTATCTCTCCCTCTCCCTCTCTCTGTCTCTCTCTCCCTCTCCCTCTCTCTGTCTCTCTCTCTCGCTCTGTATTCCCCTCTCTCTCTCCCTCTCCCTCCTCTGTCTACACATATTTGTTAGAGAGAAAGAGAGCAGAATTGGGTTTTAATGAAAAACCTTATCAAGTGCTCAAAACAAAGTAGTTATTTTAACTTGATTGAAATATTATTGATGAGAAGAGATGGGCCCTGCTCTGTGTGTGTGTGTGTGTGCACGCGTTTGTGCGTGTGTGTACATGCATAAATGCATACTTGTGCATCCATGCATGCACGTATCTGCGCATATATGTGTGTGTGCATGTGTCCGTCCCTCTCTGCAGACGGTTGGTGGACACAGAGGATGAGCTCAGTGACATCCAGTCGGACTCGGTGCCGTCGGAGGTGCGTGATTGGCTTGCCTCCACCTTCACGCGTCAGATGGGTCTGATGCTGCGCCGGACCGAAGAGAAACCGCGCTTCCGCAGCATCGTACACGCAGTGCAGGCTGGGATATTTGTTGAGAGGTTAGTTTGTCCTACAATGTCCTCCGAACATGTAGTATGTTTCTTACTAAACTGGGAGAGCAGCACTGACAGTAACACACTGTCAGTGTATTTGTGAAGAGGTTGATTGTCCTACAAATTCACTACACTGCCAAAAGTATGTGGACACCCGCTCGTCGAACATCTCATTGCAAATTCATGGCCAATAATATGGAGTTGGTCCCCCCTCTGATGCTATAACATACTCCACTCTTCTGGGAAGGCTTTCCACTAGATGTTGGAACATTGCTGCGGGGTCTTGCTTCCATTCAGCCACAAGACCATTAGTGAAATCGGGCACTGATGTTGGGAAATTAGGCCTGGCTCGCAGTCGGTGTTCCAATTAATCCTAAAGGTGTTCGATGGGTTTGAGGTCAGGGCTCTGTGCAGGCTAGTCAAGTTCTTCCACACCGATCTCGACAAATGATTTCTCTATGGACCTTGCTTTGTGCACGGGGGCAATGTCATGCTGAAACAGGAAAGGGCCTTCCCGAAACTGTTGCCACAAAGTTGCAAGCACAGAATCGTCTAGAATGTCATTCTTCACTGAAACTAAGGGGCCTAGCCTGAATAATAAAAAACAGCCTCAGACCATTATTCCTCCTCCACCAAACTTTACAGTTCACACTATGCATTCGGGCAGGTATCGTTCTCCTGGCATCCGCCAAACCCAGATTCATCCATCGGACTGCCAGATGGTGAAGCGTGATTCATCCCTCTAGAGAATGCGTTTCCACTGCTCCAGACACCAATGCCGGCGAGCTTTACACCACTCTAGCCAACTCTTGGCATTGTGCATAGTGATCTTAGGCTTGTGTGCGGCTGCTCGGCAGCTCCCGAAGAACAGTTATTGTGCTGACGTTGCTTCCAGAGGCATTTTGGAATTTGGTAGAGAGTGAATTTTTACGTGCTACGCGCTTCATCACTCGGCGGTCCCGTTCTGTGAGCTTGTGTGGCCTACCACTTCGCGGCTGAGCCGTTGTTGCTCCTAGACGTTTCCACTTCACAATAACAGCACTTACAGTTGACCGGGGCAGCTCTAGCAGGTCAGAAATGTAACAAACTGACTTGTTGGAAAGGTGGCATCCTATGAAGGTGCCACGTTGAAAGTCAATGAGCTCTTCAGTAAGGCCATTTTACTGCCAATGTTTGTCTATGGAGATTGCAATGCTGTGTGCTCGATTTTATACACCTGTCAGAAACGGGTGTGGCTGAAATAGCCAAATCCACTAATTTGAAGGGGTGTCCACATACTATTGGTCATGTAGTGTATATGATCTGTGTATTTCATACTGAACTAGGATATACCACATTCATCTCCCTGTTAGTCTCTCGCGACAGACTGTTAACAATAACAGCCCCCAGCATCAAATCAAGTAGCTTGCATTTAAGATTTGTTTCTGCGTCCCAGGATTATCTCATGCTAGCAGTTACCCATAGACTTCCAGTCATTGCGCTAATGCTAGTTAGCATTGGCTCCCGAAACTACCTCTAACTTCCTTCATACTGGACATAGATACATAAAAATGGTATCCAATTCATATGCCTCTGGGGAAGTAGATAAAGGGCCTCATTGCCAAAATCCTGAAGTATCCCTTTAATGGACAGGAGTTCCATATTTTTCCCTACTGTCAATGGAGCCATCAAAGTAATTTTGTCCTGTAGAGAATGCCTTATCATAAAGAACCCTACATGAAAGTGTGTGCATCCAGCAATCTCTGGCCAAGCCCTGGGTGGGTTTATTTGATAGCATACGGTATGTATCAGTCTCACAGTAGAAGCGTAAATCCCAGCCTAGATGATAAGCATTGGGAAGGTCACCCATCACATCCCTGTTGTGAGGTATTTCCCCCAGAACCATCCTCCCCTTACCCTTGAAATGGTAATACCACTAGCCATCTCCCCCCGTCCACCTCCACCAATCAGTGGTCCTTGGGTCTCTGGGTGTCCTAACATTGTGTGCATGGGCGTGTGTGTGTGTGTGTGTGCATGCGTGTGTGTTATCTCTCCCTGACAGGATGTACCGCCGGACGTCCAACATGGTGGGATTAAGCTATCCGCCCAGCGTGATCACGGTGCTCAAGGTATTAAGAATCGCGACCTGGCAAGGACGGCAATAGGCCAACGAGGCAGGGGAAGTCTGAGATGTGCCAATGGGGTGGCGGGGAGGGAGGGCCAGGCCTGCGAAATACCAGGCCTGGCCCTCCCTCCCCGCCACCCCAAGCAGGGGCAACCAAGATATAACCATACATCATTCACAACCTCACCCTATTTCCTTCAAATAGCCCCTCACATACACAGTATATGATGGAATATATATGTGTAGAATCACAGTACATACAGGCTGCATGCATTAATTTCAAGCCATTCTCCTCCGATGCCAGAACACACAAGGGTAAAAGCAGCATTTGACAAAAATACAATGTATTTTTACTATTGAATGTCTGTCCTGTAATGAGTAATCATGTGTGTCCTGGTTACTGACAGCAGGACCTATTCCCATGCAAAAGAACACAAGGTATTAATACCCTGCTGATCTTATGGAAGGGATTTTCATGTAATGTGTTGTTGTTATTGGTGTGTAATATTTGCGTAGCGTGCAATGTTTTCATGCCTCATGACGTGATGACTCTCCATCTGCAGAGAGAGATGACAGAATTAGAGTTTTGTTTGATCTGTTTAATCTGGTGTGATGACAAAGTGTATCTCTCTTTCTCTGCTATTGTCACACACACACACACACACACAGACACACACACACATATGCTTGCATGCACACACACACACACACACACACCACCTGACCATCTGGGTAACCCTAACCGGTTGCTCAGAGGCACAGAGGTCAACTAGAGGTCAATAGTGCGTTGTGTTTTATGCACATCATAAATTATGACATAGGTGGTCTCCCGTGGGGTTTGGGTTCAACACCCCATTCCAACCCCATCAGTATGATGAACTTAACTGTCTCATGACATGTGCTGTCTATATTTCATAACTAAACAACATTGTAAAACAGCCATTAACCTAAACCTTGAGAGGTCAGAATCCATACAAAACCAGGAAAAGCCTGTAGAATGAAAACCAGGACTTTGTGTCATAAACTTACTGGACCAACCCTGTTCAGTTCGGACCAATGTGCTGACAGCAGGGTGGATTGGCCATCTGGCAATTCTGGCAAAAGCCAGATGGGCTGGAATTGTTTTGTTGTTGGGTGTGCTGGTCGAAATTGACACTCACCCAAAAAATTTATCTGTTATACTAATCAGTGAGCAACGGCCAACCGCCCTCCCAAGATGGGCCAGCCTGGTTTTCTGAAAGACTGAGCTGAGGTCCCTGCCCCTGTGCCTGCGCCCTCCCATGCGCTCGAAAGAAAAATGTATTCTGATCATAAAACATTTCAAAATGTAACTGAGGGAAAAACACAGCTTTGGAAGCTTCGTCCCCTTGTCCCTGTCGAAGAGAGGTGGGTCTCACCTTTCTGTAGATATTTTTATTTTTTAGATATTCAGCTCAATAGCAACTATGTATTTTACAACCAAGATATTTGACATGGCTTTGGGATGTGGAGTGCCGTGCCTAAAACTGCATAGTTTTTTGTATTTTTGGATGAATACATGGGTATAAAAATTAAAATAAATCTGTAGTCCTATTTTGACAGAGTTGGCAGCACGTGCAGTGATGTGGGCTGGTGTGGATAAAATGCCAGGGCCTAATTCTTGACCCAGGCCGCCCCTGGCTGACAACAATCCTTACCGATGCTGTGATATCATCATGCCTCACCTTATGAATCCTGGCTTGACTGCTATTAGATTTCCTCCAGCTATCTCACAAAGCTATTTTCTTCGTATTCTCCTCTAAAACCGCTAAATAACACAGTGTTGAAATGAAAAGCTCTGTGGGCTACTTACCCCCGTTCCTTCTGTAGTCATCCTGCTGTCCTGACCTGTCATTGGTTGATTCACACAGAGACTGGAGAACTTGGCTTAGTCATCTCTGAGCCCGCTCTCTTCCTCTTTCTTTCTCTCTCTCTCCACCTCATCCCTCTTTCTCTCTCCATTTCCATCTCTCTCTTTCAGTATGCCCGCAGGCTGTGTAAGCCAGTGGCGGGAGACAGAGATGGAGAGCAGGCGAAAACTTCCAATTTAAAGATTTAAATCTTTAATGTGTTGTAATTCAAATGGCCCCTGCACCAGACATGTCAGAAGAACTCCACATAACTTTGTTGGAAAGAGAGAGAGAGGGAGGGAGGGAGGGAGGAAGTTGTATAGAGAATGAGAGAGAGAGAAGGGGGAGTGAGGGAGAGAGAGAGAATGGGGGAGAGAGGGAGAGAGAGAGAATGGGGAGGTATGGCGAGAGAAGGGGGGAGTAAGGTAGAGAGAGAATAATCATGTCAATAACTCACCTCTAGATGTACATGGGGATTCTGTTCTTGTTCATTATTACTTAGGTTCCTATTATGACTCCTAATAGCGCCTGGCTTTAAATTCATGTAACATACTGTATCATCAAACAAACTAGAAATAACGTCTGATGTAAAAACATGCTTACTGCTTCATGGTTTTCAAATGGTCATGCAGGCTTTCAATAAAGTGAATTTATTGATCACCTAAATTCAATGAAATAATACTTGAATATAAGCAATGTATAGCAATATAAAGGAAAATAAAATGTTTGAGACTCAGATGCACACCATTTTCATTTTAGAAGATACCCCTCCCTGCTCCTCCTCAATTATTTGCCTTACAGACACATTCAGATTCAAATGTAGTCTTTCAATACTTGTTCTGACAATGACTCCCTCTCTTTCGCAGCACGTGGACATGTGGTCTTTTGACGTGTTTGCCCTGAATGACGCGAGTGGGGACCACGCGTTGAAATTCATATTCTATGAGCTCCTCACAAGATATGACCTCATCAATCGCTTCAAGGTAAGCTGATCAGAAAAGGACCACATCTCATTCTCTCCCACTCCCTTATCTACCCCCCCCCCCCGTAGGCATCGATGAGTGATGTTCTTTTAAGTCTATTTTAATTCCATTGAATCAGAAGGTCTCAGAGGTTGTACGACTAGGGAATCAATTGCTTAAATACAAATGTTCTCTCCTCTTCCCCTTCATCTTCACTGATTGGAAAAGACTTGGTGAAAACAATATGGTGGAAGCTCATCATTAGGCTAGTCAACTATTTCAGATCACTACAATGAAGGACAGGAGGCGATGAGACAAAGGAACTTTTTAGCTGAGAAAAGCCAATCTGTGTAAGAGCCAGAATGAGAGATTTCCCTCAGGTCACTGTCTGAGCTCTGTTGTTTTTGTTTGTTGTTCAGATCCCTATCTCTGCACTGGTGTCCTTTGTGGAAGCCTTGGAGGTGGGCTACAGCAAACATAAGAATCCCTACCATAACCTGATGCACGCTGCAGATGTCACTCAGACAGTACACTATCTATTATTGAAGACAGGCATGGTGGTAAGAGACACTTTATTTTAATGTGTGTGTCTGCTTGCTTTACGTGCGTGTGCATGCATGTGTGTGTGTGTGCGTGTGTGCCTCCTAAGCTGTGTGTGTCAACAGGAGTGTACCTGCAGTATTCTTGTTTGATTAAGTCTGACCCACAAACCCACAATCAGCTGTATTTATGAGGCCATGGAGGCAGTCAGTCAGCAGCCACCATCCTGCCTGCAGGCCATGTCATAGACAGTAGCGGTGCGTGGGTAAAATCACTGGGGAAGCCAAACCAGGGAAAAAAAGCCATATTACAACCTATGTGTTGTGATAATTGCGTTGCAATTCTCTATCTGCTCTATAACCTGTTAGTTCATATGCCTTGCCACCATGAAGTGCACCAGTCCCTCCTGCAACAAAGCACCTCCACAGCATGATGCTGCCACCCCCGTGCGTCACGGTTGGGTCGGTGTTCTTCGGCTTGCAAGTAACCACCTTTTTCCTCCAAACATAATGATGGTCATTATGGCCAAACAGTTCTATTTTTGTTTCATCAGACCAGAGGACATTTCTCCAAAAAGTACGATCTTTGTCCCCATGTGCAGTTGCAAACCGTAGTCTGGCTTTTTTATGGCTGTTTTGGAGCAGTGGCTTCTTCCTTTGCTGAGCGGCCTTTCAGGTTATGTCGATATAGGACTTGTTTTACTGTGGATATAGATACTTTTGTACCTGTTTCCTCCAGCATCTTCACAAGGTCCTTTGCTGTTGTTCTGGGATTGATTTGCACCAAAGTACGTTCATCTCGAGGAGACGGAACGCGTCTCCTTCCTGAGCAGTATGACGGCTGCGTGGTCCCATGGTGTTTATACTTGCGTACTATTGTTTGTACAGATGAACGTGGTACCTTCATCATGTCTGAACCAGGCATGTGGTTGATCGGAGGTCTTGATTTCTTTTGATTTTCCCATGATGTCAAGCAAAGAGGCACCGAGTTTGAAGGTAGGCCTTGAAATACATCCACAGGTACACCTCCAATTGACTCAAATTATGTAAATTAGCCTATCAGAAGCTTCTAAAGCCATGACATCATTTTCTGGAATTTTCCAAGCTGTTTAAAGGCACAGTCAACTTAGTGTATGTAAACTTCTGACCCACTGGAATTGTGATACAGTGAATTGTAAGTGAAATAATCTGTCTGTAAACAATTGTTGGAAAAATTACTTGTGTCATGCACAAAGTAGATGTCCTAACCGACTGGCCAAAACTATAGTTTGTTAACAAAAAATGTGTGGAGTGGTTGAAAAACTAGTTTTAATGACTCCAACCTAAGTGTATGTAAACTTCCGACTTCAACTGTATATGGTTAACCTGGCGGCGACGAAGATGGCGGCCTCGCAACTAGCTCTTAGGAATCTTTGCAGTATTTTGTTTTTTAATGTATTATTTTTACATTATTAGCTCAGTAAGTGTTTTGTATCATTACATACAGCCGGGAAAAATGATTGGATATCAGAGCGGCGGTAACTCACCAGCATTACGACCAGCAATACGACTTTCCCGAAGCAGATCCTTTGTTTGCTCTCCCCAGGGCAACTGAACTGATTCCAGCGGCTGACCCAAAACATCACCGGTGGAGGAGAGGCACTCGGAGCGGCCTGCTGGTTCGACTTAGGAGGCGCGCACACCACCCACCGCTTCCAAGTATACTACTCGCTAATGTTCAGTCTTTGGTTAACAAGATCGACGAACTCCAGGCAAGGATTTCTTTCCAGAGAGATATCAAGGCCTGTAACTAACTTTGTTTCACGGAAACATGGCTCTCTTGGGATATTCTGTCAAAATCGGTCCAGCCAGAGGTGTTCTCAGTTCATCGCGCAGACAGGAATACATATCTCTCTGGAAGCAGAAGGTCGGAGGTTTGTGTTTCATGATTAACGACTCATGTTGTAATTGTAGTAACATACAGGAACTCAAGTCCTTTTGTTCACCCGACCTAGAATATCTCACAATCAAATGCTGACCGTATTATCTCCCAAGATAATTTTCTTCGGTTATAGTCACGGCCGTGTATATCCCCCGTCAAGCCGATACCACGACGGCCCTCAAAGAACTTCACTGGACTTTATGCAAACTGGAAACCACATATCCTGAGACTGCATTTATTGTAGCCGGGGATTTTAACAAAGCAAATTTGAGGACTAGGCTGCCGAAGTTCTATCAACATATCGACTGTTGTACTCATGCTGCCAAAATCCTCGGCCATTGCTATTCGAACTTCCGGCAAATCTGACCACGACTCCATTTTGCTCCTCCCTTCCAATAGGCAGAAACTCAAACAGGAAATACCCGTGCTAAGGACTATGCAACACTGGTCTGAACAATCGGAATCCACGCTTCAGGATTGTTTTGATCATGCGGACTGGGATATGTTCCGGGTAGCTTCCAAAAATAATTTAGACGAATACACTGAAACGGTGACTGAGTTTATCAGGAAGTGTATAGGTGATGTTGTGCCCACTGTGAATATTAAAACCTACTCTAACCAGAAACCGTGGCTAGATGGCAGCATTCACGCCAATATGAAAGCACGAACCACCGCATTCAACCATGGCAAGGTGACTGGGAATATGGCAGAATACAAACAGTGTAGCTACTCACTCCGCAAGGCAATTAAACTGGCAAAACATCAGTATAGAGACAAAGTGGAGTCGCAATTCAACAGCTCAGACATGAGACGTATGTGGCAAGGTCTACAGAAAATCACGGACTACAAAAGGAAAACCAGCCATGTCTCCAACACCGACGTCTCTCTTACAGACAAGCTAAACACCTTCTCACCCGCTTTGAGGATAACACAGTGCCACTGACGAGGCCTACTACCAAGGACTGTGGCCTCTCCTTCTCCGTGGCCGACGTGATTAAGACATTTAAGCATGTTAACCCTCGCAAGGCTGCCGGCCCAGACGGCATCCCTAGCCGCGTCCTCAGAGCATGCGCAGACCAGCTGGCTGGTGTGTTTATGGACATATTCAATCTCTACCTTTCCTAGTCTGCTGTTCCCACATGCTTCAAGATGGCCACCATTGTTCCTGTACCCAAGAAAGCAAAGGTAACTGAACTAAATGACTATCGCCCTGTAGCACTCACCTCTGTCATCATGAAGTGCTTTGAGAGACTAGTCAAGGATCATATCACCTCTACCTTACCTGTCACCCTAGACCCACTTCAATTTGCTTACCGCCCCAATAGATCCACAGACGATGCAATCGCCATCACACTGCACACTGCCCTATCCCATCTGGACAAGAGGAATACCTATGTAAGAATGCTGTTCATTGACTATAGCTCAGCATTCAACACCATTGTACCCTCCAAGCTCATCATCAAGCTCGAGGCCCTGGGTCTGAACCCCGCCCTGTGCAACTGGGTCCTGGACTTCCTGACGGGCCGCCCCCAGGAGGGGAAGGTTGGAAACAACATCTCCACTTCACTGATCCTCAACACTGGGGCCCCACAAGGGTGCATGCTCAGCCCCCTCCTTTACTCAATGTTGACCCATGATTGCGTGGCCAAGCACGCCTCCAACTCATTCATCAAGTTTGCAGACGACACAACAGTAGTGTGCTTGATTACCAACAATGATGAGACCGCCTACAGGGAGGAGGTGAGGGCTCTGGGAGTGTGGTGCCAGGAAAATAACCTCTCACTCAACATCAACAAAACAAAGGAGATGATCGTGGACTTCAGGAAACAGCAGAGGGTGCACCGCCCTATCCACACCGACGGGACCGCAGTGGAGAAGGTGGAAAGCTTCCTTGGTGTACACAAACTGAAATGGTCCACCCACGCAGACAGTGTGGTGAAGAAGGCGCAACAGAGCCTCTTCAACCTCAGGAGGCTGAAGAAATTTGGCTTGGCACCTAAAACCCTCACAAACTTTTACAGATGCACAATTGAGAGCATCCTGTCGGGCTCTATCACCACCTGGTACGGCAACTGCACCGCCCGCAACCGCATGGCTCTCCAGAGGGTGGTGCGGTCTGCCGAACGCATTATCGGGGGCAAACTACCCGCCCTCCAAGACACATACAGCACCCGATGTCACAGCATGGCCAAAAAGATAATCAAGGACATCAACCACCCAAGCCACTGCCTGTTCACCCCGCTATCATCCGGAAGGCGAGGTCAGTACAGGTGCATCAAAGCTGGGACCGAGAGAATGAAAAACAGCTTCTATCTCAAGGCCATCAGACTGTTAAATAGCCATCACTAGCACATTAGAGGCTGCTGCTGCCTGTTGAAATCACTGGCCACTTTAAGAAATGGAACACTAGTCACTTTAATAATGTTTACATATCTTGCACTACTCATCTCATATGTATATACTGCATTCTATTCTATAATATTCTACTGTATCTTAGTCCAATGCTGCTCTTTCATTTCTTGTCCATATATGTATATTTTCTTAAATTCCATTCCTTACTATTTTTGTGT